AAAAAAAAAAAAAAAAAATGTGAAAATGGCAGAAAAGGGAGTTAAATTTTTAATCTGCTAACCTGACAAAGTTTTTGAGTTAAAAGATTAAAAAAAAAAAATCTCATTTTTATATTCTCCCCAAAATAATATGAATAGCATCTGAATGCTCACAGTGCATATAAAATTTTAAACAATTTCAAAACATGAATATTCCAAATATCATAAAATTTAAAAAATTTTATTGTGAGAACAAAGTAATTTATTATGCTAACTGTTTTTCACATCTAATCACAGCTAACTCCAATAAATATTGGGGTAATACACCTCAAGCCACACTTGAATGGTTTCACATCCTTTATGGACTCTTTTTAATGCCTGGTATCTTATCTGAAAGATCAGAAAACATATTTAATTTCTGAAACATCTGTGATTATTTCAAATGTATACTATAATGACAACTACACAACAGTCACCAAAAAACAAAGCTGCAGGTACTCTGGATTTTAAAGATGTCGTGCAGATTTCAAATACAATAAAACTGGTAACTTCATGGAAAAGGGAAATTAAAAGTAAACAAAAACAGGTAACGGAATGAACACAGTAATCATGAAAAAACTATGTAAAACAACCCATCATCTTGATAACAAAGAACAAACTCATTGTGTACTTTCGTGCGGGGGAGCAAAGTGATTTCCTTTGTGTTCATATACTCCAAAGGGTGAAGGTGCATGATGGCGCCTTAAAGTTGTACTTATTTCAGTAGTCATGCCTGTGCAATGAGAAGTTTGTCTTCCTTATTTTATGTATTGAAACTCAATTATCACTTTGATGGGGAAATACTTTAAGCCTTTCATATAATACAGTTTAAATATTCATTATGCTTATTAGGACATATTAAAGTGCCATTTCTAAACATTTGGGCTTTTTCTCCCCAGTAAATAAAGGAAACTTTGTCTCACAGTGACAGCTTGTTGGCACAATTCAGAGTAGCTTGCTATGGGTAATTCAACCTTCTCTTGGCCTCAGTTTTGCTTTTAGCAAAAAAGCCTATAAAGTATTGTGAGTATTAAATGAAAACAGAAAAGGATTTAAAATTCTCAATTGCCACTCTGTTTTCCTTTGGGTATTTTGAAGTTTGAAAGTCCAAAGAGGCTTTTATTCTATATGGAATACACATGCACAAATGTGTGTGCTTACAATCATGTGTTTGCACAGGCATGGAGTAAAACAGTTCTAAGACTAGATTTTTAAACATCTCTAAAATCACGTATCAACAATACCCTGGGATGCAACTCATCTATTTCAGTAACCCTTTCACTTTTTAATTCCTCTTTCAAGAACCTTCTAATTAACATACAAGTATCACATGACAATCACTTGACTTCAGAGTCAAATCTATTTTCATCAAAACTGTTACCTAGAGTAGTGACCCATGACTCACCTACATTCCTTTGAATGACTTTAGCTATATTCAGAAGTAGAAGGCAGCTTTTGATACAAATTCTAAAAAGCTGTAACTGTTTGTTAACCCAGCAGCAGCAGCAGTAACTGCCCTGCTTCTTATAATAACTACCTAAGGCGGCAGCCTGTCAGCCAATGGGTTCAAGGAAAAGAACAGAGAGGCCCCAAATGTTGCTAGAAACAAGCACACATGATCTAATCAAGATGCATAGCCCAGCAGAGATTATAAGAAATAAGGAGACAAACACAAAAATGCACATAAGAACTAGCTAATCTGAATTTTCTTACCTTTATCTCTTAATCTTAGTATGTCTTCCTGCCAAGCAGTAGGTTTTTGTTTCTTGTAGTTTTTTTTTTTTTTTCCAGTATCGGTACTGGGGTTTGAACTCAGGGCCTTGTGCTTGCTAGGTAGGCACTCTACCACTTGAGCCATGACCCAGGCCCTTTTTTGGCTTTAGTTATTTTTTAGACAAGATCTAGTGTTTTTCTTGAGGCCAACCTTAGACAGCAATCTTCCTACCAATAGGCATGCACCACCATATCTGGCTTGTTTGTTGAGATAGGGGTCTCGTTAATTTTTGCCCAGGTTAGCCTCAAACCGCAGTGGATTCCTACTTCCCAAATAGCTGGGATTACAGGTATAAGCCACTATGGTAGCCTCTGCCAGGCAGTAGTTCACAGATAATTTTAGAGATGAGAGAAGGCACCGAAGCAATCATGAGGCACCCCTTACTTACAGCTAAGACTCAGAGTCCAGAGAGTTTCTGTGTGGTACACTGACAGTCAGAAAGTCTCAACCCTGGTGCCTTATCACAATCTGGCTGCCCCGTTAGTTTTTTCTCAAAGCATATGGAAGATCAACTCTAAGCACAATGGGTCCAACGTCCTGCAGACAGCAAGTACTTACTTGTAGAGGGGAATGTCTGGCTCTTTTCCTTCTGTTCTAAGTGTCAAGCAACACTGCTGTAACTGGGATTTTGGGTCATTCCAATCCTGATTCAAAATGAACTCCTGTGATAAATTCCCGAAAAGCATTTAGTGATGGATTCTGGAATCACCAGGAATAAAGCATACTGATAAATTTATGAGCTTACTTTTAATCGTGGAAAAAAACAGACATTCATGAAAGTATGTACATATTCCAAATCCTTATCAATGTACAGTGCTGCAATAAATGCTGAAAAACAAAATTTAAAAATAAACTACAATTCACTGCCATTTGCCAGAAAGAGCAAAATAACTATCTTTTAAACAACATTTGAACAAGGTTTTCGATTTCCAGGCCCTCTTTATATTTTTAGCATAATTATTTTTCATCTTCCTTTAATAAGACTCTACTGTTTATCACTAGTACTAGAAGCAGCAACATAGATGTGTGATTAAGATGCAAAATCATAGAGTAGAAAGACCAAACTACATTTAGCTATGAGCTAAATGAATAATTGGTTTAAAAGATACAAAAATGTTGCTGAATAGCAGGGAAGGAATGATACATGGGAACACAATCAGTTAACACTGAACAAATCAAAATACAAAGTGCAGTTCACATATGATGCAAGAATATGCACAACACTGGGTTCTGCCAACACTGACCTTGAGATCACCCACGTATAGAGGTTTTATGCCAAATTTCATGAACAGAAAAACAAATGGGACAATGTAAAAAATCAATCTGCCTAAATTGAGAAAAACCTAGTTCTGGGCTTAATGACAACCTAACAATCTATATGACTTTGCATTAATAAATCGTGACCCCAAAGATGACTTAATTAAAAGGAACTTTAGTCAAGTAGACATATAGGTGCATTTTAAAAGGGCTAAAAACAGCCTTCATTGGAGGAGGGGGAGCTATAATGGAGGAGATGAATTTGTTCGAGGCACACTATGCATGCATGGAATTATCACAGTGAAATCCCCTTGTGTTATTAATGTATAATAATTCAAAAATAAAATGAAAAAAGCCAGTAACATTGGTCTCAACTAAATTTTTACATAAGCTTAATCTTCCAATTACTTTACTTTAGTTGAAAAAGAAGTTTCTTAGATTGCCTTTACACTTTGTAAATAAGCTGGATTTGTACAGGAAACTTTAATATTTGCTTATAACTCCAATTGCCAAAAATATTTTAACAAACAAGAAATGTTCCAAGGCCCAGAGAATGGTCTACTTCTTTTGAAATAATATCACAAACAATAAAATTATGTGTATAATCCCTTAGTTGGCTATAATGGAATTATTTATGATGTTATCAGACTATATCAGAAAGTACAAAAGTTAACATCTGTCTGTAGGGCTTTATACTCACTCAAAACAATGGATGGTAATTTTAGTATTTAGTGAATAAATTATACTTCTTTCTTTTATGCCCCTTTATGAAGGGTGCTGGTAGGCAAAAAAACAAACAAACAAAAAAAAACCCACAATGACCAGTCTTCACATTCTGCTACTGCTTCACACAAAGGAATGTGATGATTCAGCATCAGGAAGGGGGAGAGCTACCACAAACATAGATTGAATGTAAAATGCATTATTCACATTTAAACTATTTTCCTAAAAACAAACTTTGGTTAAAAGCATAAATTTAAAATATAGGGCTGACCATGGCAGTGCATGCCTGTAATCCTAGCATTAGAGGATGATGCAGGAGGATTATGAGTTTGAGGTCAGCCTGAGGTACACAGGGAGACTGTAAATAAACAAACAAACAAACAAAAACAAACAACAGTGTCTTTAGCCAGGCCATTAATAATAATGAGAAGGATAAGTAGTGGTCAGTTTGATTTAAACTTTGCATCTGCAAGTTAAGAGAAAAGCTTTACTCCATAGGACTCACATTCCAAAAGGTCTGCTAAGGTCTTGGTCCTCAGGGCCACAGGCCTCTTGGTTTTGTCATTGGTTATGGCATACTCCTGCATGCCCAATTCTTCTGCCACCTTGGCTTGAGTTCGGTTATTCACTAAGGAACTTCGCAACAACTGGTAAAAAGGAATTGTGATATACTTAGAAACCACCTCACTTCTCTTCTGTGCCTGTGTTGAATCCAACCAGCCCAGTTCATGACAGGGACATCAAGGTAAAGTGAATGTCTGTGTCCTCTACCATTTCCCCCAGAAGACAGAGACAGATTTCACATGTGTCTAGCATATCCTCAACAACTCATTCTGCTCTACTACCTGAATTTTACCTGATAGTTAAATAGCTCGGTTACTTGTGTGGTAGCAGGACAGCTGGGTTAAGGGAGGTATGCTGTAACATGAGTAAAAGTCATAGCTTGGGCTATAGCTGTGGCTTAAGAGGTAGCTTGCCCACATGCAAGGCTTAGGTTCAATACCCAGTACTGCCAAGAAAAAAGGTGAAAAAAATAAGCTTCTAAATGAGGTAGGAATAAAAATTTTAAAAAATCAATTTTATCAACACACAATTTACTCAATAAAACATCCATTTTGTGTACAATTGGATGAATTTTGAAAACCTTATACATTTCCATCACCCCTTACACCTCTGTAATCAATCACTCCACCAGCAAACCCAGCCTGCTTTTTGTCACACTGTACACTGGTTTTAAAGGACCATTTTTTTTAAAGTATAAGAATCAAGTTCCATGACATTGGTTCTAATTTTGTTATAAGATATAGAGAAGTAATGTTTTAGTATTATTGAAAGTATTTAAATTACTTATTTATACTTTTATTATTAAAGATTTATGTTTTCTGTCCTGGATCTTAGTTTTTCATAATGAGATCCTTTATCTTTAATCAAATTTAGATATAATTTACATATTTAAACTTCAGGAATTCAAAACAAATGTCTACTAGGAATTTCAGATGCCAAAAGTCCTATAGAAACTATCCAAGTAGTAACTGCTTGAAAATTATACAACCAATCCATTGTAGAGGTGTCCATAAAACAAGCCTGGTATAGGCATTTAACACTCACTGGGGAAAGGCAGGGAGGGAGGCTGATGGAAGTAGGTAGAAAACAAGATGGGAACTACCAAACAAAAAGTGACAATTATCCCCAATCTCTAAGATTCAGAGGAATAATGCACCTAAAACTGCAGCTTTTCCTTTTTTCTAACAAATTCTTGGTTTTCTGAAGATGGGGACCAGAAGCAGCAAGCAGCTATGAGTCGTGCTGGCATTATTCCCTCTGCTGTTCCACATCACATTTTATTTACTAGATGCAAGTTTTATGTTCTGTGGCTCCATAGTGTCAACAAAGCTTATGAAAATCAAGATTTATTCTCAATACTTGGTACTGAATCCTTGACAATAGATAAATAAGAAACAATATGCTTTTAATTCGTCTGACAATGATTCATGAAGCAGATAAACAACTTGATCTTCAGAAGCTAAGCTTACTGCTGAATTTTAGACTATCTGATCCCTTCTGCCTCCTATTCCCCCCTTAACTCCATCTGTTCTTCAATATAGTGATTCATTAAAATTAATATCCATGGAGGAGCTCAAAATTTAAAAGACCAAGCACATAATCTAATAGAGGACCCAATGAATGAATAAGGAGCCCAGCAGCCTAGTATCTTGTAATTATAGAACACTTGAGCTGAAAGGGATGTTATTTTTTTGGCTTGGATTTCAAATTCAAAGAAGGGTTTCCAAAGTAGAGGCCATGAGTGGGAGGTATACAGTTATACTGAGCAAGTTGGATCCTCTCTGAGTATGTGCTTTTGGAGAGGGTAGAAAATTCCTTAGGCTGTGTATATGAAGTGTTCTTGCCCCAAAACCAACAAGCCCACTGTGCACATAAGCACACACAAATGATAACACATGGCTGGTTCCTGGGCCCCAGTTGTCACCTTCCAGTGTCAAGGCTCTTCATTTAGTGCTGTACAGTAATGCTGCCTGACAGGGAAGAACCAGAGCAGTGAGGATGGAAGCAGAAATGCTCCCGATTTTATTTAAGACAAGCCCTGACAGGTCTTGAAGCAGCAAGCAGAGAGTGCGATCTATAAGTTCTTGCCAAAAACTTAGAGCCTGGATCAAAAGTCAGTGAAGGAGAAGGAAGCTATTAATCAGCCATATTTATGTCACTGGTTTAAATTTGGAAGATGAGTGGAAACAAGGTAAGATCTGTTCCTTACATAAACCTGAAAGTCCAAATAGAGGTTCTTTAAACAATTCTGTCTTTATCCTATGCTAAACTTTACTTCAGAAGGAACTTGTTATTTGCCACAGTGGGAACCAGAGGGCATCAACAGGAAGAAAACCTGCTGAAGTTTCGGAGGTTCAGCTGACCAGTGATGAAGGCTGATTATTCATGAGGCTTGGTGATGAAAGCTGTAGATCCCCAGAGGATCAACAACATCCTGTTAGCATCCTAGGAAAAGACACGATCCTAGGAAAACCACACCAAGACTGGCCACTCAACACATTCTGCTTGCTGGAGCACCAGCACAAAGACTACAGGTACATTCAGTCTTAGAAAGACTCTGGCTTTCTAAAAAGGCTGACGTCAAGCAAAGGCCTTTCAGGGGTCATCCACCTAGCTGCATTATTAGAGTTGTGAGGTGCTTCTGAGATTCTGCTGCCTAGGCTTCTTCAAAGAACCAAGGAATCCAAATTTCTGAGGATGAAACTTGGACACTTGCCTTTTGAAGAAATTCATGTACACAGATTCTGATGAACACAGACTCAGAACTGAAAATAACTGAATGCGCCAGTGAGAGAAGGTTTTTTTCTAGGAGGAGGAACCACTGTGGGAAATCCAAGAGACCATGAAACAGCAAAGTGACCACTAGGTGGAACTACAGGAGAAATCAGACCCAAATAAAGAGAGCAGATGCAGGCAAGACCAGCAGGTGATATAAGGAAGTCTACCTGTATTTTTCTGTAGGGGATGAGGAATCCCAAAAAGTGGCAATGGTGAGGTAATTTGTTGATTTTAGAAAGATTTTTGTGGATGGATTTGAATGTGACAAGACATAAGGATGGAAAGCCTGTAGATGTTGATGGTATAAATGATTATTTTACAAAAAGAGTGAATCTGCTTTTTGCCTTTTAGTGGAAATCTAGAAAATGAACATTAAGCACTCGACGAGCACAACATAGTTATCAGACTGTCTATAACAATGCCTTGTATTGAATTATCACAGTAAAAAAACCCTGAGTCTAAATATTGGCTCTATCATTTCCTAGCTAAGTGACTCTGTCTAAGTTACTACATCTCTCTGGGCCTCAATTTCCTCATCTGCAAAATGGAGAAAGTAGTACTTACCTTATAGGGTTATTCTGAGAATTAGAGTAAATGAATGTGCAATCTAATTACAATAACTGAGTTGCAATAAGCACACCTGAAATGTTATCTGCTGCTGTTATCTACAATAGTATTGTCACTACCAGGCAAGATTTGCTTGCTCTTCAGTAATGGGAAAGGGTTCTAGAAAGCTACAGGAATTTCTCTGGATTTAATTTCAATGCAAAAATGTTCTGAATCCCCATTCCTCATTGTCTTCAAAGCTCTCCTTTTTTTTTTTAAACCAAGTGCTAACCTGTCCCTAAGATCTTTTTTTTTTTTTTTTGAATAGCTCCCTAAACAGGGTTTAATTTGATTTGTGAAATAATGTCAGGGACCAGAATAAACAAACTAAATCTCAAATGCTGGTTTTGAGAATCTACAATGTTTCCTATTATCTCAGCAGAGCAGTATTTCACAGTTATTTTAAACTTAAATTTTCAGGTATAGAGTGTGACATAGGTGGTAGAACAGCTGCCTAGCAAGTGCAAAGCCCAGAGTTCAAACCCCAGTATCACCAAAACAAAACCCTCCAAACTCAAACCAAAACAACAAAAAAAAATCCTTAAATTTTCAGAAGAACAAGGTTTAATGGTTTGAATCAAGCATACATATTGGCATTTTTTTCTTTAACTTTCCTATTCACTCTTGATTCTGAAGAAACTGCTACCAAAGAGGGCCATCTAGTGTAAAATAAGCAGACTGTGATTTATTATTTGAGGGCTTTCATATAAGGACATGAGTGAAAGCAGAATATACTATTAAAACTGACAGTGATATGCCACACAGGTCTATTATACCAAGAGTGGTAGCCAGAAGTCTCCATTTCCCATGATAACTAAAGAAAAGGCACACAAATGCCAGCAGGTGGGATGCAGGTCAGATACAAAGAGACATACTATGCCAATGATGGAGAGATCCTCAAGCAGGCACTGAGGAATCCATCTTCTCAAAGAGATCATTTTGATAAGATACCTGCTTGTCTGAATGATTTATACTCAATGCAGTCTGGAGGCAGCAGGGCAGGATGAGATCACTGCTTCTCAAGTTTTTTATTTATAATCCTTGCTCTTTCCCATTATCCCAAATCATTCCTCTAAAAGCAAACACTTCTTCAAAATCATCTTGCTATGCATGTCACCATTAGGCGTGGTGCCTTGCACACCTTAGGCCTGGGATTAGCAGCACTGTTAAGCTCTGTGGAAGAGTAAAAGGCTAAGAGAGAAGAATGACACAGAGAATACACCTATGACTGAAAATCTGCAAGTGTCACAACACAGGCATGCTGGCCTGAGTAAATGCTTTCTTTGACACTCTTACTATTTACCCTGACTCTGCTAGGTAGGGTCATCCTAAAAAACAAAATACCAGTGTTGGAAACAGAACTTCTTCCCAACATCTCAATCTAAACTCAGTTATGCTGGGACAGTTGTATACGCCTAACAGTCCTCCCTGAGTAGACTTTAAAAAAAAAAAAAATCCAGCTATAGAGCAGTATGGTTTTCCTCATCAGCATTCAAAACTTGGAAATCACAATTACATTTATTCGATTGTCCTTGTTCCTTGTAAAACAAGTGGGTAAGGCACTGGCTTGAAGCTCACTAATTCCTGCCAATGTGACTTACTACAGTTGTGTGTCCTTTAACCACAATAATGAATCATTTACTACCCTCTCCATGCAACTGCAACATGTAATCCTCCACATATTTTAAATCAGTGCTAATCCTTAGACATTCAAAAGTCAGTTTTTAGTTTCTTCCCTTATGCATAAGATAATGTGCTCCCTCCCTCCAGGGCCACTTCATCTGCCCTCTCAATATGTCCTAGCTGCCTATAAAACTTATACTTCTGTACTGTGAGTCTACCATATGTCGGGCACTGATAGGCCTACTGATGAACAGATACATGCTCTCATGGAACTTCTAGTCTAGTGGGGTAGGCAAAGTGAAGTACGTGCCAGAAGGAAAAGAATTTTTGATGGAGGGAGGCGGGGAGGTTGGCGGGAGGTTTCCCTTGCATCCGTTAAGTCAGGCCAGAATCGACATGTAAAGGCAGACTAGGAGATACTAGGCAGACTGAGAGTAAGGGCCAGATGCACAATGGTTTCCACATAGAAGAATATCATGCACAAAGGCCCGATGGCAGGAAGAGACTTGGAGAAACACCATGGAGGCTGGTGCAGAGTGAGAAGAGCATGTGTCTTGAGGCTGGGCACATGGGCAAAGCCAGACACCCAGAGCCTTGCTCATTCTTTAGTCACTGTCTTGAGGAACAACTAAAAAGCCAGAATGTAAAGATCATTCATTCAAAGTCTATTTCCTGAGCCCTGATACATCAGGAATTTGCCAAGGGCCCCCAAAAAAATCAGGATGAAAAATCAGGAAGAAAGCTCTTACCTTCATGGAGTTTACACTCTTTGTCCTAAGAAGAAAATGGAGATAAGGTTCTACTCGGAGGGAGGGATGCTAGGAACAAGGGGAGGAGGTTGTCTATTTGAGCAGGGTGGGTTAAAGAAGGCCTCATTGATAAGATGACTTTGAACAGAGACCAGAACAAGTGAGGGATTTGGCTCACTTGTTCAGATAACCAGGAGAAGGATATTATAATCAGATGAACTAGCACATGCACAGGCCCCCAAGGAAGGGCTGGCTTAGTAGTCCTGCAGGAACCTTGAGGCGGCCAATACGAAGAGTTTAGGAGACAAAGTCAGAGACAGCAGCAGGAAGCCAGGTCATACAACGTGACTTTGTCTTGTACCCATAAGACAAAAGACTGGGGGCTTTAATTAGAGAAGAGTTGTTTGCTGGCTTCTCTTTTAAAAAGATCCCTTCAGATATTGTGCTGAAACTAGCCTGTGAAGGAGGGAAGGACCAGATGAGAAAATATGGTTGTAATTTAGACAACAGGGTGGTAACACTACAGCTGGTAAGCAGTGGTGAGAATCAGTATAATCATAGAAGGTAAAAAATGAATGGGATGTGCTATGGCTGTGAGGAGTAATATGAGAAAAAGAGAGGAGGTAAGGATGACTTCAAGGTTTTCAGCTTGAGCCTGGAATAATGGAATGATACTTACTGATACGGAGAACACTGGGGGAAAAAAAAGCAGGCTTCAGAATGAAAATTGTTTTATTTTAGACACATTAGGTTTGAGATGCCTATTAGAAATCGAACTAAGAATTTGAGTATATTTATATACCTAGATATTTGAGGAGAGCTACACTTAACAGACATGAATCTGGAGTTTGAAGGAGGAGCAAAGGCCATGTGATTAAAGCCATGAAAGAGACAGAGGAGCTCGCTTATGAGGAAGTTAGTGGAGAAAGGAAACAAACAAAGTGGACTGAGAGTTATAGGAAATGTATTCACAGGAGAGCTATTGTGAAAAGGTTCCTCTGGCTTTACCATATACAATGGATTGGATGGGGACACAAGTTGATACACGACAATCTGGAGCTGGGCACAGTGGAACAGAGGCAAAAGGCAGGAAGGTCTCAGCTTTAGGACAACCCAGACAAAACATTAGTGAGACCCTATCTCAAAAACAAGTCGGGTAATAGTGGTGCATGCATATAACCCCAGTGACTTGGGAGGCAGAGGTCAGAGGATCACAGTCTGAGGTTGACCCAGAAAAAAATGCGAGGCTCTGTCTGAAAAATAACAACATAAAATCAAAAGGACTAGCTCATGGCTTACTTTTCCTAAGTAAGATAGGAGAATTAGGTAGTAGAGCACCTGCATAGCGAGCACAAGACCCTGAGTTTAATACCCAGTATCACCAAAAAAAGCCAAATACAAATAAAAGAAGACCAAGGTAGGAAGCTGCAAAAATGATTTCACACAGGTCTGAGACCTGGACCTTCTAAAGGATTTCTTCTTGAAACTGTTCATCTCCCAGGAAGAGAACAAAAATGTCCACAAGAAGACTAACAAGAAGCTTCTCAAGAGTAATATACATCCTGGGGGGAATCTGCAAACCCAGGGAGTTCACTCCTATGACAGAGGATGCTGCACTGCCTTGTGTGACCAGAACCTTAAGATCCTGTCCTTTGCAACTTAATGAATGTTACTCATTCCAACTGAGTCACTTTTGTCCTATAACATTTTGACAGGTCAGCAGAGCTTACTACAGTGACCCAGGTGAGCAAGGCTGGTAGACAGGCCATAGGTGGTGGAGACAAGGTGGTAAGGAGAGAATATATTCAAGATATTCTGGAAGATTAACACTTTCAGGATTTGTTTCAAGACTGGAACAGGGGGAAGGGAGGTAAAGGGAGACATCAAAGACACTGCTAGGTTTCTGGGGGGCACTGCTAACTCGGTGATGTACCATCCCATTACCCAGGGAAGATTGGACAAGGATCCAGATGGGTGAAGATCAGAAATGCAACCTTGGACATATAGAGATGCTGAGGAGGCAGTTGTAACTAGATCTTAGAACAGAGGTGGGTCTGAAGAAATCAGCTGGAAGTATTCTGCCAATAGGGTGAAACTCCTGATATACATGGAATACTCCTTGAGAGACACCAGGAATAAAGATACATGACCAAGGAGTGGCATCTTAGGTACTAGAACATTTGCTAACTGTAAAGAATAAGATCAACCTGTAAAGCAGACTAAGACAGAGTAGCTAAGGAAGTAAGAGGAAACCTAGAATGTACAGTGTTTGGCTATTTATCGGACCAATCAGATACTCTTGACACCTATGAAGTCTACTCCCTAATGCAGAATACCGAACATGCAATTTATTGTCTTTTCCTAAGTAAGATATAAGAATTAGTTTGTTTTCTTAAGAATTTATTATTAACTCAAGAAAGAAATACTTTCTAATCTACCTGAAAGCAGTTAACTTTAAATAGCAATCAAGCAGTTAATTAAAAATTAAAGTACTACTTGCCGGGTGCTGGTGGCTCATACCTGTAATCCTAGCTACTCGGGAGGCTGAGATCAGGAGGATTATGGTTTGAGGCCAGACTGGCCAAATAGTTCTTGAGACTCTACCTTGAAAATACTCAACACAAAAAAGGGCTGGCAGAGTGGCTCTAGCAATAGAGTGCATGCCTAGGAAGTGAGAGGCCCTGAATTCAAGCCCAAGTACTGCCAAAAAAAAATAAAATAATAATAATTAAAGTACTATTAATTCCTCATCATAGTTTATGATACACAGTAGAAGCTCAATACTAGCTGAATGAATGCTGAGTGAAATTCTACTGGAAAATCACATTTAAATATAGCTAAATCACCACGTTTATCCTAATTCCAATACATATGTCTCAAACTATTTTAGGGTTCACTGCTACAGAAATAAGATTTAATTCTTTTCAAAGCAAAACTGTGGTTAAAAATTTTAAAGATGCAAAGTATGAATGATTTGTTCTTTGCATCAATGTGAGACTGCACTAACAATGTACCTTATAGTATACCACTATTTTTCTTTGCCTAATAAAGTATTTGCTTTCCCAGTGACCAGTTCTCAAGGGACTTTCAGAGGTTACTGTTTGTTACTGGAGAGATCATCTCAACTGGCTTCTAGAGATGTTTTGTTCACCATTCCAGGTACATTCTTGACTGGTTTCACAGAGTAAAAACAGTATGCACCA